CATTTCTTTTCCTTTGTAACATATTTTTACATTTGGTTCACAATTTTCAATAACTCTAAAAGGTCCTATGTATAATGGATTAAGTTTGTTTACCATTTGTTCATTTCTGAGTAGTATTAGGTCGCCGACATTATACGTGATAGGGTTTGTGTACTGATCATATCTACTCTTTCTTACTTCTTTACTTTCAATCAAATTGTGCCTTGCATCATATTGTGATTTTTGCAGTCTGTATTTAAGTTCTTTAGGATAGTCATAGTTATTATACAATGGATCTATTTGTAAGGTTAAATTACTTGGTAAATTACATTGTTTTCCGAAGACTAGTTCATATGGCGTATATTTAGTTTCTGTATGTACTGTCGTATTGAAAGCAAAACACCAGTAGGGAAGCCAATTACTCCAATTTTGTGGTTCATTTTCGGTTTGAATTCTCAAGTAGGACATTAACACTTTATGGCTATTTTCTATGCTACCTATAGATTGATGGTGATAGGCTGTCGAAGTTATTTGTCTAATTTTCAATATTTCACATACTTGTTTCATAACTATAGAGACAAACTCAGTACCCCGATCCGACATAATTTGTCGAGGAATCCCGTACCGTAGAATAAAATTATTAACAAATGCTGATGCTACAGAAACAGTATCTTTATTTTTAATAGGGTAAGCCTCAACATACTTACTTAAGTCACACTGGAGTGTGAGAATATAAGAATTACTATCACTATCCTTAATTAAGGGCCCAACTAAATCTAAATATATTCTATCAAAAGAGGAATACGCGGTATCCGTTAGAACCATGGGTTCTTTTATATGTCTAAAGTGTTTCTGTCGTAAACACTTATCACAATTATTAACGAATTCAGATACATCTTTTTCAAGTGCTGTATCCTGTAGGAAGGCTGTAGGAATACGCGGTATCCGTTAGAACCATGGGTTCTTTTATATGTCTAAAGTGTTTCTGTCGTAAACACTTATCACAATTATTAACGAATTCAGATACATCTTTTTCAAGTCGGAGAAATCCAGAAAAATCGTCGCTTTATATTATTTATCATACGTCGGATGCCGGCGTGTCCGCTTGTTGATAACAAATGATAATCATTTAATATTATACGCTTAGTATCGTGATCACTTATTCTTTTGACACTATTTAATATATATATACGTGGTCCGGACCAATTTTTAGTGTCATTTATTAGTCGAGTTAATTCTTTTATATTATCGCAATTATAATCATGTTTTATTATAAATAAACTGTTTATCTTTAATTGCTTGCATAAACAACCTAGTTTCCTCATAAAGGCATCTCGTGCGCAATATGATCGGAAATAAGGGTTAATATAAATAATTTGTTTCGTTAAGTTATAGGCAAATAAATAAGAATTGTCCGGTGCATTACTTTCTATTCTTTTCCACTCTTCCTCATTCACAAATCTTAGTTCAATACTACCCTCTGGCTTTTTAAGAGTGCCCAAAATCTTTGGTTGATCAGACCAAAAATTTGAAGTGCTTTTATCGACCCCAGGGTTGTCACCTTTGCGTCCCATATTATGTTCCTCTAATTTTCTTCTCTGTGCCCGGGTTAAAACACACATTACTCGTTCATTCATTTCTTTCAGATCTTCACTCGATATTCGGATGCGAGACAATGCATCTGCAACTACATTGTCCGCCCCTTTGATATATTCAATGACGTAATTGTATTCTTCTAGCAATAGTCTGAATTTTGTTAAGCGACTAGATGGGTTAGTCATATTAAAAAGATAAATTAACGGTTTATGATCGGTTCTTATTATGAATTTACGACCATACAGGTATGGCCTAAAGTATTTCACGGACCATACTACGGAAAGCAATTCCTTTTCTATAGTTGGATACCTAATTTCTGCTTCATTCAAATTACGACTTGCGAATGCTATTGGTTTATTATCGCTGTTACTTAATACTGATCCGATTGCATAACCAGAAGCATCGGTTTGTAAAATAAAAGTGTTTTCGCTGTCAAAGTTGGGATATTGTAACAATGGTGGATTTATTAATGAATTCTTAAGGGAAGAAAATGATTCCTGACATTCTGAGGTCCATTTAAAATCTACATTTTTACGGCAAAGTCTATTGAGCGGTAAGGCTTTTTTCGCAAAATTAGGAATAAATTTCCTATAAAAATTGGTAAACGCTACAAATCTTTTAGTTTCATCTGCATTTTTTGGAATTGGATAATTTTGAACTACTTTAGTTTTTTCACGATCTGGTTTTATACCATCAGTCGAAATTACGTGACCCAAAAATTGCATTTCTTTCCTCAAAAAATCTCACTTACTCGGATTTAATTTTAAATTTGTTTTACGAAGTCTATTTAAAATATCTATTAAGTTTTTATTATGAATATCTAAATTTCGACCAAAACAGATTAAATTATCTAAATAAATAAATAATTTGTCATACGAGGGTCAAACTGAAAGTTCTTAGAACTGGCCACTTATAAACAATATAATAAAAAAATAATTCTAAAATTTGAAAATATAACTCTTTGCCAATATTACTGAGTATATATTTCATTCATTTGTCATTTGTTTTACGATTTGGCGGCAAATTGAAAATTGTCTGTGTCACGTCATCATGAATTTAACACGAGAAAATTTTCGTGCAATGATTTTTTATGACTTTCGATGTCATTTAAGTCAACAAGAAAGTTATGATAGACTACGATTGGCCTTTCACGATGAAGCCCCATCTCGTGCGACTCTTTACAACTGGTTTAATGAGTTTAAACGTGGTCGCACTAATCTCACTGATGATTTACGTGAGGGACGGCCTTCTACGGCGACGACTGAAGATAACATCTGTGTTGTGCGGCGTATGATAGAGACTGACAAAAGAGTGACCTATCAACAGATTCGGACAAGCTTAGGTATCGGTATGAGTCAAGTGCACAAAATCCTCCACGAACATTTAGCGGTCAGGAAGCTTTGCGCCCGGTGGATACCTCATAATTTGACTGAGGCTCAAAAACTCCATCGTGTGGATTGGTGTCGTAAAATGATTGAAAGATTTAACGGAGGTGACTCAAATGCTGTGTTCGACATACTAACAGGTGACGAAAGCTGGATTTACTGTTATGATCCTAAAACCAAAAGACAATCTGCTCAGTGGGTGTTTCCTTTCGAGGAGTTGCCAACTAAAGTGAAGAGAGATCGAAGTGCGGGAAAAAAAATGGTGGCCTCGTTCTTTGGAAGGATAGGTCATTTTGCAACAATTGTGTTAGAGGATCAAAAAACAGTTTCTGCAGAATGGTACACTACCAATTGTTTGCCACTTGTCTTGGAAAAAGTTCGAGAGAAACGACCTCGCAGTAGGATCCTCCTTCACCACGACAACGCCTCGTCGCACACCGCCAAGCGAACGATCGACTATTTGGCGACATCAAACGTTGAATTACTGGGTCACCCGCCGTATAGCCCCGACCTCGCGCCTTGTGATTTTTATTTATTTCCAAAAATTAAAGAAAAACTTAAAGGAAAGCGGTTTATGAATGCTGAAGAAGCGGTGGCTGCGTATCGCGATGCCATTGAAGAGACCCCTAAGGACGAGTGGGCAAAGTGCTTTTCCCAGTGGTTCCATCGCATGCAGCGGTGTATTGACGTGAATGGACAATATTTTGAAAAGATATAATAAAACTAATAACTGGCTAATGTAATCAGTTTTTGATTTTCTAAGAACTTTCAGTTTGACCCTCGTATGTAAGGCCGGACATCGCGATTGTCATTAATCGTGAGAATGAGCTTGGGCTGATTTTTAATCCCATAGGGAGACGAGTCATTTGATATTGTCCGGACGGAGTTGTAAAAGCTGTATACTTCCGACTGTCTGGACTTAAGTTTGCCTGGTAGTAAGCCTGGGATAAATCTAATTGTGAAAAATACATTGAGCCTGATAGGGAATCCAAAATATCTGTTATGTTCGGTAGTGGAAATTTATCATCTAATATTCTGTCATTCAATTTACGAAAATCAATTACTAATCTCCATTTTTTACTTTCATCATTTGATTTTTTGGGTACCAAAAGAATAGGACTTGACCATTCACTACTTGCGGGTTCGATGATATTATTTGAGAGTAATTTTTGAACCTGTTTTTCAACCTCTGAACGTTGTGAAAAAGGCAATCTATATTGTTTGACATATACCGGGTCCGCATTTGGCTTTAATTGTATAGTTTGATCATATAAATTAGCAGTAGATCATTTGTCATCAGGCAAGTGAAACACGTCCGAAAATTTTGCACAAATTTTTTCAATTGACACGCGTTCTTCGTAATTTAAATGATTTAAATTTAAACAAGAAAACATTTTATGTATTCTGTCTCCGTCTATGTAACTATTTTCAAAATTGCATAACTCGTACTCCGATAATTTATGTACTTCCGGTCTAAAATAATAAAGAGTCACTTCCGCTTCACGAGTGTTTAGTATTTGAATACTAATTTTACCTCTATTAGGTTTACATATACTACCAGCCATGAAAACACCTTGACATAACTCGCTTGGTAAAACCACACACTCTTCGTTGATGGTACTATCTATAATAAAAAATTTTTCGCATCTCGGTGGAATTGTTAGAAAACCTGTTTTACCTAAAGAACCGCTAATCATACGAATTGTAATACGATTATCATTATTCAATGATAAAGTATTACTTTCAAAATTTATGATGGCGTTATATTTGTGCAAAAAGTCTCTACCTATTATTCCTTGTTGCATACACGGTAAGTAATCGATCGCATAAAACTTGTGTTCGAATTCCTTGCCATTTATGTTAAGCGTAACATAAACATAACCGATCGACTGCACTTTGCCCCCTATACCGTTAATGTGGATGCGTTCCTTGTGTATTGGAATGTTCCATCTTAGGACAGTTTCGTATTTCAGTGCCGACATAGATGCTCCAGAATCAACTAGAAAGCTATATTTGGTATCTTTAAATAACAATTCCACTGAGCTACCGTAGTCACATGCTAATATATAATTATTATCGAAAAAACTGAAAGGAGTCTTGATTTTTTATGTCTGACTTAGTGTCCGAATTTAACATTGAAGTTTGAGCCTCTTCCAAGGTATTTGAATTAATATTGGTGTCCATATAGTGTACATTACCACTACGATAAAATGAACGACTTTTCCCCCCACGGTATCTATACTGCCTATAGTTGTTATTCTCATGTGGTTTATTTTGAGTTCGATTCCTAGTTTGGTTTTGTGAAACATATCCTCGATTGTTCCTTTGTGAAAATTGTATATTTGAATTATTCATCCGCCTATTAAAGCTACCCCTAGTATTATTTTGGTAACGTTCATAATTATTTCTTCGGCCTCGGTATCCGAAATATACCGCAGGCTCTAGCTCTTGGCGACTGCAGGATGCTTCTTCGTCCTTCGCCGCCCTTATAGTATCTTTTAATGATGAATAATTTCGCGCTGATAATATTGTGCTCAATTGACGATTTCGTAAACCATCGGTAAAGCTTTTAATTGCGAGCTTCTCGTTTAAAGGTCTTAATATTTTGTATGCATCTTGGTTACCGTCAGCTTGCGATATTGTCAAGTTTACAAATAATTCCTCCATTTTTTGACCAAAATTATCTAAAGATATGCCGTTTTGTCGTACTTTTACTAATTCGTTATGCAAAGAAGTGCTTGATTTTTTTGTTAAGAGATGGTCTCGCATGTCCTGAACGAGCAATTCGCAACTATCGTATGATATCGACAATCGTAATTTGGCACTTTCATTTAAACGAGTTTTTAAAACGAATTGTATTAACATATTCTTACCTTCTTCATTGAGCGTAGAGTTATACAATGTGATGGCATCGATGAGGCTCTTGGTAACAGCTTCATCACCAGTCATCACTGGCATCAGTGATACTGCAGTCTTAAAATCAAACGTTGTCATTGTGGTTTTACTTTCCAGTACGCCTGTACACTCAGAAATATACGTTTTTGAACAACAGGTCTCTATTTGATCATATGTGTTTTTTATAAAATCACAATATGACTGTAAGTCTTTTAATACTTTGCTTTCTATTTGCTTGTTTTCAATTTTTTCCAAAACTAATATCATACATTCGTCAAACCGATGACGTAATCGTTTAGCCTCAATAAGTTTTTGATTTAACACATTTTCTGTCCTCTTTGCGTAGCTTAATTTTATCAAATTATCTTTTAATATTTTTATTTTGTTGCTTAACTCTTTAATTTCATCGGCCATTAAAATATATTTTTAATGTTATCGTAATTACATACATATGATTATTTTATTAGAAGCATAAATTTCATAATGCATATAATATTATTCCTTAAAAATCTTTACATTTATATTAATGAATAATTATTACTAGTACATTTATAACGGAATACATACCGTCAATGATTATTGCTAACCTATTTACAAAATTATATTACTGTCTAAAGAGAGGAGAGAAAAAAAAAATTGTTCTTACGATTACATATCCACCAAAGTAAAATTTTACGCATAGCACTTCACTTTATTTTATGCACTATTGCTTTTTTGACACACATGCACTGGTTCTGGGCGATGTTGATGCTCGCAGCAAACACGGTCTTCCTGGATCGGTCGTCGAAACGAACGCCTCAATGACTGCGCCAATACCTCATTCCGAATCCATCCATGATGACATTTTTTGTAAAGTATGTAGAGTCCAAATAATCCTGCAATAGCTATCATAGTGCATATGAGCACTAGCACAATGCTGATATTTGATAAATGATAGTCCTGGGAATTAGATCCAACAGCATTTTGGTTCAGAAACACTTCGTCTTTTTCTACAGTAGATCGACACATTTTTTGTTTTTTTTTTTTTTTATATTTTGTAATGATTTATAAATTATTTTATGACGTCGAATCGCGCGACCGAACGTCGGCTGACCGCCTTAGATGGAAGGGTCGCCATGCACTGTAGGGAGCTTCGGACTATTAACTGAAACACCGGCTGCTGTTATAATGCGTCCTTTATTACATAAATATGTTCCTTATATATTGAGTCGAAATGCAAGTGTGTATATACGATGCATACACACTACACGTTTCTTGAAATTGACGTAGCTTACCTATGATTGTTTTCGATATTATCTATACTATCGAAGTTAATACTATCGGTGTTTGTATATCAATATTATTAAATACTTATAGTACCCGATATTATAAGTATTTAATAATGCAGCGCGAGAGTTCAAAAGTGAATATATATATATGATTGGACAGTATGGCACTATCGCCAATATAGATAGATACAATCGGTAATTTAGCAGTTATCGACTATCGAAAAGGCACTCTTATCGTAGTAAATCTCATAAACGTAGCAACATATCATGTCCCTACGAAAAGTAAAATTTTAACTTTATTATAAATAGAATAATTTCGACTTCACTTCTGTCTGATCTAAACAATTAGTAGATCTCTCAAGTAAGTAAATGTATATGCAACCTTATGGATTTTATAGCAAACTGTTTATATTGTTTTTTATAAGCTTCTCGTGCAAATCTGTACATGAGGATTCGTCTATTTTTCCTTTTGAGGTCTTCTTATTCTTTAATCACAAGTACATGAAAATAAATAAAATGTGGATATACACGAAAAAAGACTACACAAAACAATAGCCGTAAAGAAAAGTAAAAAAATTGAGACGGACACTGTATAGAGGACGGAGCTTTATGAACAATGAGATATGTTCAAAAAACCTTCATACAATAGAAGATAGTACGTTATTATTATGATGATAAAATGTTACACTCCCTCACCAAGTGTTAGTAAATAATTATATTATAATTGGACCAATAAAAAATTTACGTTTTCGAAAGAAACTTGAAGAAACTGAGCATCGTAAATTAATACACGCCATAGATGAAGTTATTACAAAAGATTGAATTTGAACTTAACTAATAAAAAAATAAGTCTTATAGTAGATTGGAGCATTAAGTAGGAACCCGATATACAGTGTTGTACAAAGGGTAAACTTATTTTGAAACGGATACAATACTTAAGCGATTCTTAGTAATTTTTTTAAACCGCTGTTTTTAATTCCAGGTATGTGTTTACGGTTGGATTCTAACAGCATTCTCTATTTGTCAACCTTTAGGAAAAGTACAAAACGTATAGATGATATAATACAGACATAGGGCATTATAAATATTATATTACAAATAAAATATGATAACGTAAATGAATATCCACTGTGGTTGGCAGCCACCTCTGCATTGCAGGGCCTCACCTGTCTAGGTGAGGCTCTCGATGGACCCGAGCCTCTCCATATCTCCAAAATAACTATCGTAAGGGCCTATCACAGGGTGTATGACCAAAACGTTATTATCTCGAGCTACTCCGTGCTTCGTAATGCAAGTTAAGCCGTTGGTCCCGGCTGCATTAGCAGTAGTTAACACCCACCAATTCGCATTGGGCCCGCGTAATACGTTATGGGCGATGGATCCTAATCGATTCGATCCCATCCATAGGAAAATAAAAATTCTCCTGATATACTTTCCCACGCAGACGAAGTCGCGGGCACAGCTAGTTAATAATATATTCAGTGGGATATTAGTACGGGGCAAATATTTAATTTGTCATTTAAACTAGTAAATCGTCATCAGTCAGGATGAATATTTTAATGTCACATACAAAAGAAAATGCCACCATTTTAAATCTTATACTATGACAAAATGAAACAAAAGGATTTGAGGTACGGTATAATGAGTGTAGAATTAAATGTACTTCTTAAGACTTATTTTTCGATTTATTTTAAGACATTGGCTATCATAAACTTTGTTATAAACAATATTTGTGACACTTTTACTTTATTGGTAATCTTATGTAATGCATACAAAATACTTATACATGAAAGAATTTATCATAGAAAAGCCTTATTTTATAATAGACGCAGAGAATACTTTGATATGTGCTCTCCGACTCCCGACTCATATAAGCATAAACTTGCAATATATAAAATTGCAATACCGACATTATAAGCCGACTGAAGTATCGCAGTTATGACTAATGTGACAAATTATTCTGAGCACTGGTAGAAATATATATGATATTGATTTATTTAAAAATAAGAATGTTCCAATATTAATGCAGTTGCAGGTGTGTTTTTTAAAGTGTCAACAAAACTTAAAATCACTTTTAAAATCTAGTTTTTAAGTAGAAATGGAATTAATAACAGTCATGATTTATTGCTATTATTTTTGATTGCCTTAATTGCTCACGGAGCTATGTTTTATCAGTTTTCTGAGAACGTCTCATCACATTACAAAATTGTCAAACAATTGGTAACAACGAGAAACAACGATAACGGCAACAAAACATAAAAATGGGATTCTCCTGTCCAAAGCGGACCGTTTGGTCACATTACTTATAGCTCGAAGACCTTGGTAATATTAAATTTTAATTCTTCGTCTCTTTGATATTCGTTTTAGATTCCAGTAAAGTGGAATATTTTGATTACTTTCAGTTAATAAAGGCTAGATTTATGAGTTAGGTGATCGTTTAAAATATAAGTACAGTACTAGCCGGAATTGACTTTATATTGTACTAGATTTCGTCAGCGGATTCGCCCGCATGGTCCCTAGGGAAATGTGTAGTGAGACAAAAAGTAACCTATTATCTAAGTCAGCTAATATCTGTATACCAAATTTCATCAAAATCCGTTCAGTAGCAGTCCGTTAAGTTTATAATATTGGTAGGATATTCCGGTTTGTGTTATTCAATCTAGTGACGTCACGGTAAAGGTTATAAATTTCTTATTATCAAAAGTATTCATATTTTAAACAATAAACTTCTTATAGGTTTTGCTGCGAGTCAATAATCTCCATGGCAATACTCTTACATTATATCCAGTTATAGTATGTATGATATTTATAGCTATAGTATGTATGATAATTATGTACTCGTATGTATGTTTATATCATGTACATTTATGACACCATAGACTACCTAATTTAGATTTAAATTAAAATTTTCCAAACGGTAACGGTTGCCTGGAAGAAATTGCTTTTTAGCGATAAGACCGCCGATTGTACTATTTGTTTTATATTATTGTTACCTATAATTGGTGTATTTGTACAATAAAGAATTATTCTATTCTATTCTATTCTAATTATCTTTATTGTATGTATAGGTTTATAGAGGTTTACATAGGATGTACTGAAACCTTTATATTTTTTTTATTGAATAGCTAGTAGTAGGGGAGCCCACGATGCTAAATCGGGATTTACTCGAGCGTCATAGAGACCTATTGAACAAGAAAATATAACAAGAAAATAATGTCATATAATATATACCTTTTCATCGGTGGGGGAAGCGGCTATAGATTTTTAAAAATGTAAAAAAAACTGTTGTATGGACATACTCGAGCGCGTCAGATATTAATATCATTCATGTCCTACGCATTTTTAAAAACTGTCGTATGTTAATCTGATCGTTTCCATGATGGGGGTGGTTATACGTAAGGGTTGAAAATGAAAAAAAAAAATTTTATCGAGCGCGTCAGATTTTTTGAGGGGATGTCAAGTGAACCTAAAAAAAAGCTGTCATATAATAATCTGACGATTTGGATGTGACGCAAACGCGTGACCATTATTAGAATGTGCAAAAAAAAATTGCCATTTTGAAATACTCAAGCGCGTCAGATTAAGATATATATGGTTCATCTTTATCTCATAATCTGACGATTATCTGAAGGCATTTATTTAAACTGACAATTAAAAATTTTATTTTTTTATTTTTTCAAATTATTGAGCTTAATTAAATAGAAAAGCACCAGAGTTAGCATGCAAATAAAAAAGTGTATGTTTTTTTATGTAGAATACTTATATTTATAAGAAAATGATTATATGAAAATTTAATTTTTACAGTATTTTTTTATTAATTATTATCTAAATCGCTAGAATCATCTTCCTCCTCTTCTCTTAGTAAATATGTAAAAAGTGTAATTCACTAAATTTACATTAAAATAACAAAATAAGCAAAAACGTTGGAAATACGATGTAAACAATATCACGCCACGAATGAGTCTGTGTCATCAGCTGTCATGGCGTCATGGCAACCGAAACCAGAGTGGGGACAGAGTGAGAGAGTAATATATAGAAAAAGAGCGAGAGAGAAATAGTGATGCGGACAAGGAAATATAGGTATCACGCATTAAATCTTATCGATGAATTTTTATTACTTCGGCTTGTGAAAATCGTCAGATTATATATTTTTCGTAATCCTTGAATGATTCCCTTCAAAATAAAAAAAAAAAATTAGCCACGCTCGAGAATGTCAGTGACGTTTTTTTTTTTTAGAACTTTGTAGCCTTCCCCCTTCTTTACGTCACTCTCAAATTGTCAGATTAGAGGTATGTACACCTTTTAGCATGTAACTAG